GTTATTTGCGCTTCACATTTTGAACTGTGTCCATGTGATTCTGAGTCACTCAGAAACACAGTTTGCTTCAGTAGACAGTTATGATTTCCCTAATTTTTTCTACACTAGCTTGTCATAGAATAAATCATGAAAGTTGACTGACACACCTTTCTGTGTTGAAGGATCTGCAGTAGTGTCCACTTGGACAGCTCTGAATGAGTCCAAGTCTCACTACAAGGAACCACAGCATCAAGTCCTCGTCCAATACCCAGTACCAGTGCTCACTCCAGTCATTTGCAGCCTTCTGTTCCCAGTGCAAAAACACCAAATTTGCGCGGGTCACGTGGGCGGAAATGAAACCAGCAGCCAAAAAGGTCGTCCCTCTGTCTCTGGCGCACCTTTGCTCTGCGACTATGACCCTATGGGACCCAAATACACTAGCAATACTAAGGGCAGCCCACATCAGATGAGTCTAATGAAAAAACGTCGTTCTTCTTTTGGTGTGACTCATCAGCAGGGACCCGAAGAATACCTTTGTGGGATCTTGTCATTTGGAGATGCCAATTCGTCGACTGTCAATCCACACCGGGCAAATGTCTACACCAAAGTTGAGGACTACCTTCCATGGATCGATCATACTATTAAAAATTTCTCTTGAAAAAAAAATCTCTATGCTGTATTTTGCCATATATCGGTGTACTAACAAAAACCAACAATGCTGAACTCTGAAATGTTATTCATTTATTTGTCCAATTGAATTTGAGAAAATTTTCTCAGCAAATCTCTTGTTCTTGGAAAGGATATACAGTATATATATACAGAAAATGCTGTACCCAGTATCACAAGAATACTCTGCAGAATTTTATAGAATTTGTGAGAAAAATTTCTTTAGGTTCCCAGAAACCATGAGAAGAATACTATAGAGAATATTTTTAGATCACCTTTCTAGAACTTTCCATAGGCATATATAAGGGCCAACCCATCCAGCCAGGGATTCATTCCTTTCTTAACTCCAGAGCTGGAAAGAGGTAGTAATAATGTGAAGAAGTGGAAGATGAAGTGTAGTTGAATTTCTAACAATAATGCTATAGAGATGAACCCTGGGAGTTTGTATCTTTCAAAAGTGTTTTTAGTGAAGTCTGGAATTTCCTATTGAGGTGCATGGTTTAGATTCAATGCCTGTTACTGATAGCAAGTGCACTACCTCTATTGTCTCTAGAGGTAATTAGTGAAAAATTGCAGACTTCTTGAGGACATTCTTGAGTTTTCTGGGTTCTTCCAGATATTAATCCTATCCAATTGTGAAATACTCATTTGGCTGTCTGGAACATTTCTGAAAGTGTCTGAAATGGTTTGTTGTGCAGTGTTTAATTATATGATTGTGTTTCATCTGTACATTTCAGAACTGATTGTTGAAGTTTGTACTTGTGGAACTGTTCATTTTGTGAATTGCCAAACAGTGCTAAATAAAGCCTACTTATTGTGGCTAATCCAAACCTTGCCTGCTTGTGTGTCCTTACTGGCAGTTGATTGAGTGCTCACCAAGCATCAGCAGTGACAAAACATACTAGTGCTAGTATCTTCAGTAAGTGAAGTACAGTATACCAGATTCATCAAACCAACCACACTCAAGAGTGTGGTTGGTAATGATGTTTTTGTGTTTCGAGATTTCGATTTCAATGGCGGTTTTGGTTGTCTACCAATGGTACGTGGTGTCAGGTGGTGAGCTTAAAAAAAAAATTACATGGTTTTAAAGCATGACTTTGACATCAGCTTTTCAAAATGATTTACAGCTGGAAAGAATTGGCCTTATGGAGGGAAGGAATTTTCCAGATCATCTGACGAGTTTCATCGAAAATCTGTTCTAAGCCTACACAGGATTGTTGGTGGGATTCAAGTCAAGAAAGGTACTGTATTTATTATCCAGAACAGTATTGTAGTATTCCCTTTCCAGGAGAAAAAATAGAAAAATGCAGAAGCATAAGTACATCATACTGTAACATACACATCATATTTGAAGGTATTCTTAATATGTACTGAGAAACACTAAATATGAAATGACACCTCAGTAAATCAAAATTTCCAGAGGCTTTTAAGTCATAAAAGTTGAACACCAATAACTCAAACCTCCCTCAGTCGAATACCACCCTATGTCAAAATATGTTCAAGCCCCTGTCTGAATTCCTTTACATACACTGCACTAAAAACCTCCCAAACTCAAAGAAATTCCCTCTGGAGCCTCCATTATTTCAAATTTTCTGAGGCCTCTTGGTCATAATTTTCTTGACACAAAAAATAAAAGAGCAATTTAAAAAATAACTTGAGGTGTTCTGAAAACAAGTGAAAAACACAATGCTGGCCTCCAAGTCCAGCATCATTTCAACTCATTTGAGAAGTAATGTAAGTCAGGCCCAGAATATCAACATTTACAATTTCCTGCAAATCTTCCATGTTTCCCACAGAAAAAATGCTTCTTTTTCCAAGTCAAAACCTCATCTGTATTTTAGTCAATTTTTGCTGGTCCCTTGGAATTTTACTTGGAGAGGTTTAACTATATTTTAGGGATCTTAAAAAAAGAGCAATGAATATATAACTTCCTGTTTCTCAAAAGAAACTGAGTAACTAATTGGGCAAAAAGAGCATTTTTCTTCCAAATTTAGTACTGTATATCTGTCAACTCAT